ATCCAGGAGAAAGAAAATATTTCAAAACATCACTAGGGCACAGATCTGTTTTTATAAAAACTCCAGTTTAATCTCATGGCTGAGACCTGGCAAAACATCTTTTTTTTTTTCAATGTTGTTTTTCTTTTTTCTTTTTTTCTTTCTTTTTTTTTTTTTTTTTAAGCAATAAGGCACAAAGACAGGCAAGTCCACACAGAGAACAAAGCTTAAAAAAATACAATCCATCAGGGCTAGCAGGAGAAATAATCAAAAACCAGAGCCAGCGGGATGGGGACAGTCCTTTTCACAGTGTCTGACTTCCAACCTTTCCCTTGATGTGGCAGCAAATAGTGTTTCGAAGGAGACCAGTGTCTGCAAGAACAATATCCAAGGTCTGGGCTGCTGCATGGAGCCCTCAGGAAGCACTTGCCTCCTGCTGTTCTTCCTTTCCAGGCCTGTGAAAGTCCTGCTCCATCTCCAGTTGAACATAGTGGCAAGCTTTCCATTCCTTGCTTGGAGCACAAATAGTTAACACCAAGCCTTTACATTGATTAGGAGCGAGAAAAAGCTAAACTGAATTGGGATCAGCTACAGCTTCTCCCCCAGCCCTAGAGGTTATTTTCTAGAGATGGAGAGAAGCAAGAGAGACAACTGCAAAACCTGGGCATGCCCGAAAGGGACTATGTGTTCCAGCAGATTGCTTGTTTTCAAGGACTGGGGAGAAGCTTGTGGTAGGAAGCCAAGTCAGTCTTTGCACTCTGGTCTCCCCTGATGTCATCCTTCCTCTCCCAGGACAAGATCCTGCTCAGGAAGGCAGATTCAGACCTTCTGCCCACCACAAAACAGTCAGAACTAATTAGCTTCTCTGTGGGCAGACAGCCAGTTGATCTCACACTTTCAGGGCTAGAAAAGTTGCAACATAAAACAGTTCCACACATCAGCCCAAGTTTCACAGATGTGCAGGATTCCATTTAGACAATTCCTTCATTTTAATTACATTTCCTTTTTAATATATTTATATAAAATGTTCTTTTATATATATATATATATATATAAATTTAACACAATATTCACCACTACAGGCATTTCAGAATTCATTAGGAAAGAAAATAGACTTTGATTGCACCTTTTGGACTCCAGGTGAGGGAAAATACTGCAGGGCTTTATGAATGCCCTCTGATGCAGACCTATGTTCCCCTGAAGCTCTAAAGGTGAAAAAAAGAAGTGCTTCGGTCTTCCTGCAGTAATAGCATAGGATGGGCAGTCCAGAGGAATGTGGCTTATAAGGTGAGATAGCACACTCATTTCTGCTTACCCTCTCTCCAATAAGGCAGCTCCCACACAGGCTAACATTAACCACGTCCCTCCTTTCCATCAGGGGATTCACCTCTTTGCCAGCCCAACCATTTCACACTGAGCTATGCTCCTGCACTTAACAGAAGCTGCACAAACCCACTGACGACATGCGAAAAATAAGTGAAATTAAGCCACCTCTCTCATTTCCCACCGCTAGAAGGCCACAAGCAGCAAATGCTTGTGGTACAATGTCATGATTGAGACTGAGTCCATCTGCAAGTTTAGGGGTGGCCTAAAGGGGATGGTCCTAAAGGGGATATTTAAACATCCACAGTCCCAGGGAATTAGATTTTTCTTTTAGGTCTCTGAAATGACCTTTGCAAAGCTGCAAATGATGTGATAGACTTTTTAGGAAGATCCTTTCCATTGTGCCAAGAACCATTGACTTAGATCTCACACAAAACTTCAAATACTGGGCCAGGCCCATCTACCGTAACACTGTTCTATCCCTCTCAATGCTTCACAGAAAAACAAACAAAACCAAGGAGCAATCAAAGAAACAATATCCTTTCTTAAAACTGTGTTTGCAAGATCATGCTGGAGGGCAGGAGCTTGGTACTGCCCCAAGTACAACTGCAAAACCCCGAACCTCAGAAAACCTTCTGGTCTCGGGTTCAATCTGCTACTGCAGGGTGGCAGGGAACAGCCTAAGGGCCCTAAAGGGAAGATGACATCAGGTGTGATCCTGGGGCTGACCTCAGGAATGGCTTAGTAACGTGGGGTCTCGGGATGTTCCAACTACACAGTCAGCACCACTCAATGGTTGACGGCTTCTCTTTCCTGGCTCTGTCCAGATATCAAGCCTTGGTTGTTGAAGCTGACTGCACCTGTAGTACCAACACAGACCCACCCTTGAGCATTAGAAACTCTGCAGAAGTTTGGGTCTGGAGCTGGGCATAGTGATATTTGGGCAATAAAGAAATTGCTCCCAGCTCTGCAGGATCTGGGGCCTTATCTCTGCTCTCGTGATACAAGTCCACTTGCAACCATAAAGCTATCGTGATGGGTCCTGCATTCTGTCCACCTGGCTAGGATCTTGGAAGTTTGATACAGCAGCTGTAGGTTGGATCTGAAATTGCAAATACAGCTCTGATCAAGCTACAAAATAGAGATCTTCTTACAGAATCTCTGCTTAATTAAAATCCAGGACCTGGATCTGAACTCACATTCTGAAGCACCTTTAAAAATTACAGTCTGGATACAGATTTTAGTCAAGGTCGATCTTTAATATTACACATAATTTTCTAATAATTTTCTCTTGCAGGAACTTCACCAATTATGCCAAAAGCACTATTACTAACTGGAACGCTGTTAAGAGTTGAGGCAGTGTATTATATACAAATTGCCAGACCTCATTTCTTGTTCGTAGATCAGCTTATATGAGATCAAGGAGGAAAAGAAAGAATGGTTTTAAGGTGCCAAGGTTTCATCACATTTTCTTTTTCTTTTGACACATTACTTTATGAGTTTGGCTGGCTCCATTCCAGGTGCCTTGGCAGTCGCAACTAGGAACTGAGAGAATATAAATCCCTGCCCAAAGTAAACTGTTTTATTGACGCCAAAAAATCTGGGCACCATTTCCATTACTTTTGCTCTCTGTAAAGCCTCACCACAATACCTCGTACCACACCTTCCAAAGTCATTTGCCACTACTCCAGCCATGGTATTTAAAAGCTTTCCCATGAGGCAGTAGGAAAGCACTTGGATGCCATCTCAATGCAACACAGAGCTGTACTATGAGGAATATGGAAAACTGGCAAACCCCTGGTTTTAATGGGAGGCTGCACAGGAATTTTATGGTCTGGGAGGAGGCTAATAGAGTTGTCATGAAGCTGGATATGCTGAACTGGCTGTCCACAGCTTGCCCAGGTAAAGCAGAGGCTGGCATCTGTGAGACAGCATGGACTCAAACAAGAACTCCAGGATATTCTCCCTCAACCAAACTGACAGCATGGGCTTAGTCCTTTGCTCTGTTCCCTTCTACATTGCATTACACACAAGTGGGATGTGCAATGGGGAGGATCAAATACAGCAACTTCTTACACGGAGAGGCCCTCTTGTTTTTTCACACTCCCTTTGGATATGGCAAGATAAAATTCTGCTGAAGGTGTATTCCTTGCATCTGTGTGCCCAGAGCTTCTCAAAAGCACTCTGGCACCTCTCCCCCTTAGCAAACAAAGTGTGCAGACAAAGCAGTGAATAGACCAGGCCCTCCAGCCACTATGATACTAATTAAGTGACACGTTCATGACAGACCAAGAGCTCATGGGCTGAGCTTGTGTGTTGGGTTTTACAATTTTAAAATGCCAGTACATTATGAAAGAAGCCCTAAACATACATCCACTGGGAAATTCTGACTTGATGCTCATTGTGGTGGCTGTAGCACTTCCTACCAGATGCCCAGTTACTGCTCAAACTATAGCCCATAATACCCATCAGAGAGCCTACAGACTCGTACACCTCCACGAATGATGGGCCCTGCAAGCACCATTACAGGGACAATCTCAGCACTGGTAGCAACACCTGTGTTCCCACCTCCTCCTAGCCACTGGTGGCATTTAAATCTCAGAAACAGCACGGGCTGTACCTGCCTTTGCAATCACCCACCGTCACGTACCAGGCAACAGATGAACCTGCGGTTAACTCGGAGTTAGAGGCTTTATAAAGGAAGCTTTAATTCTATTCCCACAGCAGCTATTGCTTATATGAACATGTATTTGCCTGTAATGATAACGGCCCTTCAGGAGAGAGTTTAATTCACTTCAAATCCCCCTCTCAGGATATTGTTTGCGATCTGTTCTACAGTCCCACAAAAGCATCCTCTTTACCATACCCTCAATCAATTTGAAAGCATTGAGGGGCAGGGAGGTGAAAGCCAGCCATGCTCTCAAAGAAACAACATAAAATCGTAAGGAACAAGAAGTTTGAAGGAGGAAGAAGCACCTGGGGACATGCCACACAGTGGCAATGAAAGACCAAGGGTCAAAGATACATCAGTCAGGGTGCAGGAGGGCAATAGCCCAAGGACATGCAGATCAGAAGATCCTCTTGGTTTTCTCTGCTGTTGGCAGTGTAGAGCACAGCTGGAGATAGTTACAGAGGTGTCACCTGGCTTTAAGCAATGATGAAAATAGTTGATACTGGCCTTTGTTATGACTGTGTCTTCACTTCCATTGATAGCAGCCTGAGAAGTCTCTATCAATGGACACTCATTCTCCAGCCACACAAATCTTGCCTGCCAAAGGAAGGTGTGGCTGAGCACAAAAAATCCCATGATCAGGACTTGGAAGACTGACAGAACAACTGGGCGTTTCCAGTCCAGCTTTCATTCCACCTTACACATGGTGGAAAGATGCCATCTTTGATGCAGGAGAAAAGCTGGAGGCAGTGCCCTCAGGTTGCATGTTTGCCACTGGAACATCCTTGTGTAGCTCACACCCTTTGTCACTTGCTCATGCCAGCTTCACCTTCCTCTTCAGCTATCCCCGGCTTCCTACACTGTTTTCTTACACTCTCCAAACAAGACAGCAGAGACAGACAGCCATGGTCCTTCAATAGCTGCTGGGAAAATACAGAAAGAGGCCCCAAGCATCTAAACTTACCTCCTCAGCAGATGTTTTGCCCCTGCACCCCGGGCTGCAGTTTCCCCCCACTCTATTTTTTCAGTTATTCTGAGATTTACTTTTCCTTTTTTTTTTTTTTTTTTTTTCTTTTTCCTGTAGAGAGGATGAGGCTTCCACAGGGCTTGTTAGATAACAAGAACGAGGAAAGGCAAGTTCCTTGGGACTGGTTTACAAAAAAGCAAGACAGTGAGGGACTACAAAGGGATGAGAAAGGGAAGGAAAAGCAAGACAAAAAGACTGTGAGCAAAATGCTTCGCAGGAAATGGTAAAAGATTTGGGTCCTCCTTGCACAAAACAGTTACACCAACAGCAAAATTGAAAGAGTTGGTCTTGGTATAGACACTGCCATCCCATCCACCACAGAAAAGGAGTAAGGGAGGCTGTTGCTATTCAATCTGCCTCCCACTTCGTCCATCCAGAATCACAGAGCGCCTCTGTGGCTGGTAAAAGCAGCTGGTAGAAGTCTCCAGTCTCTGGCCATTCTTGGGGATGGTCATTTTGTTCCGCAGCGTCACCCCCTCGGGTGTTGTCCTCGAAGTCTCAGACAGATCGCCACAGATGGGGCTCGAAGAGGTGGTCTGAGTGGGGCTCCTTATGGGTGATAACAGCACCCTGGAGTCTGCTGAAGAGGAGGGGTGGTCCATAATGGGGAAAGGGGGGCTGAAGAGAATCAGACTCTGGGGCCTCCCGGGCCTAGATCTATAGGAAGGCTTGGAGAACCCCGACGGCCTCTCCATCTTCGAGGACTGTGGGTTATCTTCAGCCGTCTCCCCCTCTGAAGTGCGCTTTCGGCGCAGAACGGGGGCATCCAGGCCAGGGTTATGGTTGGATTGAGATGACTCCAGTGAAGATCCAAGGCTGCTGTGCCAAGGGCAGGCTGAGTCCTTTTGAGCTGGGTCACTGTTCTCTTTCTCCGCCTTGGCTTTCTTCTCTGTCTGTGGGCTCTTGGGGGGTTCCAGGTGGCCCCATGCCACCCGCTGAGTCTGTCTGCCAGCCTGCTTAGCTTCTGCCTCCTTCTTCTCTGCTGGGGGAGCAGCATTTTGAGCCTGCAGGGGCTGGGGGATCTGGGTGTACTGAATCTTCGGCGGTATCACAGGCACGGCTCTAGCCTGGCACATCTTAATCATGAAGGAGGTTCTGACCGCCGACACACTGACAGGGGCAGAGTTACGACGGCCGGTGGTGGCATGGGCCATGGCCAGGTAATCCAAGTCCAGATCCACGTGGGTGTTGAAAGGAGATCCCCAGGGAACACCTTTACCCACAGCAGGGCAGGCAGTTGGCAGGGACGGGACAGAGTCACTGCTTTTCACTTCCTTCTGCCCACAGAGGTGGTGCCCAGTGGCAGAGGGCAAGGCCAGGCTCTCAAAAGTGAAGAAATCTGGGGCTGGAAGGAGTGTATCCAAGTTGAGGGACGATGGCCTAGTCTTCACTTTACGAGGTGTTTCTTCACCTTTATTACTCAGACCTGATTCAGTGGCAGAGCACAATGCTTTGGTAACAGCATCTCCTCCCAGGGCAGTGTCTTGAGATATGGGCAACTCCTCCTTTGTGTTCTTTGTCTCTAAAGAACACTCTGGGGTATTTGGGTACGACAAAGACAGCTCGAGCTTTGAGCTCCAAGGGTTTTCTTTGCTCGCGTCCACTTTTTTCTCCTCTGGTTCTGAAAGAGGGATTCTGGAGGGTTCTTCTTGCTTAGCTGGTGTTTCCTCCCGATCATGGGGATACCTCAGCTCATCAGGTTTCAGGGGTTCTTCTGGAAGACTTGTGCTATTCTCATCTTGCTTAGCTCTGCCCAAACTAGAGGGGGAGATGGGCTGTGTTTTGGGCAGCTCACAAGACGCTGGCAAGATGTCACTGCAAGGTTGCTGCTGCTCAGGGGCATCTATGAAAGGGAATGGGATAGTCCACAGAGTCATCACCGTGTCTTTACTATCCAGGGAGAGGCTGCGACTGAATCGTGGTCTAAGAGAAAGGCCTGTCTCTGATCTCTGACTCTGTGGCTGAAGCTCTGGTATTGTCTTCTCTTGAATGTCCTTAAAGGTGGGGGAGTGGAGGGGACTCGTGACCCACTGATGATCCTCCCATGGCTCCACAAGTTCTAAGCTCTGCACGTTGTCTGTCCAGGTATCCTCATCATCCTGCTCACCAGCTTCATGAGTTCTGCTAACAGCATTGCCCTCCTTCAGCTCCTGGATTCCAGCTCCACTCAGCTCCTTGGAGGCGAATGCGTCCCTTCCATCAGCAGGCATTATCTCAGGCTTTTCCCTCTGAGTATGGACTCTGGTATGACCCTCACTTTCCTTCTGCAGCTTGCAAGTGCTATCTTTTTCTTTCTCTGGCTCTGAGCAGGCTCCTTTGGAAAGAGAAAATGTGTCTGTTGGGGGAACCTCATTAATGTCTGGTTGACTATGAAGCTTCCAGTCCAGGGGAGGAGTGAGACATTCACTCATGCTGTCCTCCACCACTGGGTGGTGGTTCTTTGGTATGGCTGCACCAGTCGGGACAGTACCCGGTTTGGGTAGGGCTGGAGCACAGCTCTGCTGTGCAGCCACATCAGACTGGCAGCTGTGGTGGCTGTCTGGTCGTTCCACGTTGCTGGCACCAAATAAAGGCACCTGAGCTGTGGTCTGTGGTGTCCCACATGCAGATTTCTGCTCAGACAGGGTTGGGCTTTGCCCTGGGCCAGAGGAAAAGCTATTTGTTTGTGCTGAAGAAGAGTCAGAAATTGGGCCTGTCTTGGGGACAGCTGCTGGCAAGATCAAGAGCTCTTCTTCAGGTTCAATGATTTTCAGTTCATGCTGTATCTCTGGCCACAGCGGTTCTAGAAGAGCATTCACAGGGTCCTCCTCAGTCTGAAAAACAGAAGAAATACCATGACCAGACAGCTCACAACTTACTAGTAAATACACCTCTGTTTTTGTCATACAGCCCTCTTAGGACAGAGTGGCTCCTGGACAAGCATGTTCATGGGTACAGAAACACACACACACACTGCCACTAATCCACCGAAGGAAATACTTCTACAAACAAGTAAGTTTTATGAAGAAGATCTGTGACGCAGCCAGAATGAGGCCTAGGAGGATGCACTTGGAAGAGCAAGGTGAATGAGGAGCTGGAATGTCTCAGCCCATTTCTCAGCTCTTCCCATTCACTTGTCCTTGCCAGAGGTTCTGCACTCCCGAATTGCACTCTAACAGGAACAAATAATCTGTTTAAGAATATATGCCAACAGATCTTTGAATAGATGTCCAGAGAGGAGTATCACCATAAGAAATTTAGTGAAAAAGCTCTGGTAGAGATACAGAGGAGATAGGGGAAAAAAAAAATAAAAGTGTCTAGAGAATGGAATGAAAATGAAAGGTTCAGGCTGTACAGATCAACAAAATAGGACAGCAAAAATAGAAGAGGATTTCAGAGACCCTGGGTCAAAAGGATCAGACACCTGGACAGTCTCACATTTGGAGAGTCTCACAGCAGACAGATTGTACCGACTGCAGGCATAGTTACAGAAAGAGAAAACGAAGAAGAGACAGTCGGTTGTTGCATAAAGCTAAATCACCAAATGCTCATGGGAGCAGAAGTGAAACTAATACATGGTCAATTCTTGACCCTGCTCAGCCTAGGCCATGGACTGAGTTTTCATGCCTATAGATGGACACACAATGAAATTTTGAACAGCCTCCCAGTCACCACCATGACATTGCTCCCCATCTTTTTTTCTCACGGCTTCTTCCTTACCGCATCCCTTAAGCGTGGCGCCTCCTCCGGCTTAGCCTTCTGGATATCCTGCTGGCCACAGCTGCCTTCTGGGGAGATGTCCTTCATCTTGAGCGGCCCTTGCTCTGCCTTGCCTGCAGGGAGCATCCCTGCATGAACCTCTGAGGCTGGAGTTTGCTCCAAGGTGGGACTTTGCTCTGAGGATTGCTGGAGGCTGCTGCTGCTGCTGGTGCTGCTGCTCTGCCCACATAACATCTCCTGATTTTCTGCTGCGGGTTGTGCAGTTTCTAACGTCTCGGGTTTCCTGGCTGCCACCAGCTCCTCGGGGTGAGAGCCTGGAGCAGAAACACAAATGAACTTTGTAACGACTTGTGACCGAAAGCATGTGCCTGGCAGTGCTCCCTGAAATGAAGCAGTGCAATTTTGGCCCAGTAAGAACAAAGAAAGCTGCAGAGCTTCCTCTGGGCAGAACAGGGTGTTGCTGTGAGGACAGCCACCTCCCCAACCCCAGTACTGCTGCAAGGGCCAACGCGATCTGCAGCTGCCAATGCCAGCCCTGGCACTGCTTGGTCTCTTTCCTGCCACAAGATCAGGCTGGAGCCACCTCCACGCCATTGCAGCCAAGCATCAGGGTACCACCAGTAGCCCAACAAGGGCTCCACACAGCTCTCCACCACACACCTTTACCTCGGGCTGCTCCCGTTGTCAGGAGAGGTCCTGGTGGCTTCTCCTTCTTCTCTGGGGCCAGCTCCATCCTCGTGTGGCTCCCCGCTTCCAGGGCCGAGGGGCTGGGGCTCTCAGGCACCAGGACAGACAGCTCCTCCAGGCTGGAGAGGGAAGGCTTGTCCTTGGCGGGCACGCGGCACGGGGTGCTGTTAGTGCTGATGACTGCGGACACCCGGAGTGGGACAGAGACAGCGAAGGGCTCTGAGATGTTCAGGGCTTTCCTCTGGTGCCGTGGGGAGGCCTCCAAGGGGAAGAGGCTGCTGGGAAAGCCTGACTTGGCGGCTGTTTCAGAGGTGTAGAACATCCGGCTGCCTTTGGGGCAAGTCTGGTCATTTTCGGCATCCTCTGCTGCTCGGAAGACCTTCAGCTGCTCGGGGGGTGATTTTGTATGTGGTGTCCGGCAAGGAGCTTTGTCCCCACTCAGCTCTGAGCTTCCTTTTGCCCCCATGGCAGATCCTTCCCGCTCCCACTCGTTCTCCTTGCTGAGGTCGTATGAGCTGCCTGTGCCTCCGGTCCGCATTTTCATCACCGGGACGAAAAACCCTCCAGTAGTCACTGCCCGTTTGAATCTGCTCTTCTCATCCTCCCCTAGAGGAGGGAAGATACAAGGCAGTCAGTGGGAAGCAAAGCACTAGCAGCAGCCTTTCTCTGCAAGGAGCCCATGTTCATCGCCCCAGGAACGGCTCCTGCCCTTGGTGAACACCCACATTTCCTCAGAGGGATGGGGACTGTAACCCTGGGACTCCTTCAAACTGGGCAGGCAGGGCTGAATGGGATGCCCTCCACTGGAAATCATCCAGGACTTTTATTAGAGGCCACTCTCAATCAGATGCAGACAAGCCTAGGGCTAGCACACATTGCCCACAGAGATCATAGCTCAGGGCTTTCTTGGTTTGTTGCGAGTATTTTTAATTGCTTTATACTTTTTCATTGTAAAAGGGGACTTTGCGCCCAGCAGAATAACCAAGAATGAAATCAAAGCAATCCCACTGCTAATAAAGATGCAGGTAGGCACAGTGATAATTCTCAGGTGCACGCACAAACAAAATAGACACAGTTGAAGGTTAAAAATGCATGCACAGAAGGGTGAGGGCACTTGTCAGCAGCTGTGGCATAAGCACATGAGGATATACAACACGGTGAGATAAGAAAAGACACAGACCACAGCATATATGCAAGCATGGGGGAGAGCTGAGAGGGCATAGGTGCAGCATAGGCAGTTGATGTCTCACCTTCCACTGGCAGGGAACACAGTGAGTCCATGCTCTTTGCGGGCCGAATGGTTGCTTTTTCTGTGGAAAATGAGTTTTAGAAACAGGCTTCAGATCCCGCAGCTTTGCAGGCTTCAGCCCATAAAGAACAAAGGCTGAATATAGACAGACATGCCAGACAGACATCAAAGTTATTTTCCGTTTCCGAGCATTCCCCCTCTGCATCCACACCATGCTGCTTATTACCCACAACACTTGTCCACACAGCTGGGGATCCACTAGTGCTAACAACAGCTTTGCACCTGCCAGACATGTGGAGAGCTATACTTAACCCAGCCAGTCAACACCATCTTCACTCTGTAGCAGTTTGACATCCCTGTCTTGTGCCATTGCCCTCCCCGATCATGCCAGGTTGTTGCTTGTGGGGACTTTTTAACTAAACTGGCATAAATGTCTGCCCACTTCTCATTCTTTGGAGTAAATGTTGGGTTATTTTCATGTTCCATTCCCAGATTCTTGTTTGTAAGACCATGCCCAGCCTCCAGCAAGCATAGCAGGAAATTTATGTGGTCAGTAAGCCACTTATTCCCTGGTCATCCTCACTGGACTTACTTGTCCAAAAATGATCTGCCAATTGTCACCAAACACTCTACAGGTCTGTTCCTGAGAGGTTTTGGAAGCATGTGACTGTTACTGCTCTGAAAGGGGAGATGGAGGGGAAAGTAGCTGGCAAGAACAGCAAGTTAGTTTCTGGCAGCGCCAAAAGGGATCCTGGGAGCTCTGGAAAACGTCTGGGAGCAAACTTTGCTGTTTACGATGGTGCACAAAGTAGGTAAGGCAGAAAGTGAGTGGGCTTGTTGGACTTTATTTGTTTATATAATTGAGGCTTCTGGGACTTTCACATGAGCACGGGAGAAACTCCAGCTACCTTTCGCATTTATATGGAGTCCTGGCTACCTTTCACATTTATATGGCATGATGTCTTGAGCACTAGCTCTGCATTCCCAGAGGAACAGAATTCGAGCTGCGGAGCTCACAGTTTATGTGACTTGCAGACTTGTGTGCATGGACACAAACCGTGCTAAAGCATGTGCTGAGTTTCAACAGCAAGTTCATCTGTTTCCCCACATTATGCTGTAAGCAGAGAGTACACAAAAATACAACATGGCAGCGCTAAAGCATTGCTTCTCCAAAGCACTGCTCTGATGCCTAAATCTCTGCATGGTTCTGCATTTTTATGTCCCGCTGGTGAAAATGTGCAACCTCCTGTCACTCAGTACTGTGCTTGGAACAAAGGCTCAGCCCTGACAATCACTGGGCTCCAAACATTCCCAGGAAACCCTGGGCTAGTACTATTTTGGGACAGAGTATTCCTTATCAAAGTGAGAAGGTGATCCCATGATCAAAATAGGATGGCGAGCTATTTTGAGGTCTGCCATGGACACTCTGTGTGAGGCCATCTGTACATGTAAAACAGGGGGAAGGCAGGTGTCCAAAGAAAGTTGGATTCAGCATTTGGCTTCACACTTATCTTAGATCCAAAGACTGCCTCTCTTATACATGGTTGGCAGCATTCTATAATGTTGGCAACACGAACCATTTTAAGTCTTGCAATGTTTGGTAGCATTCCTTCAAACACCAACTCCTAGAATCATGAGGTTATCTTAAAAATTGCAAGTTCATCTTGTTTTGAATAAGCAAATCATGATTATTCTAAAGCTATCTCTATGATTTTTAGGTCTTGAGTCATCATTTCTGAACACTTGGAATTGGCACTCCTAGGTAATTTTCTAGGAAGCACAGAGCTTAAGATATTGCAGCTCAGGAGAATCTAGAATTTAGGATTACAGTCAGGAGGAAAGACATCTTCTCCCTTGTAAATGTTGCAAAAGTAATCACTTTCCTCAACATGCTGAGAGCCAGGAGCCATAGGAACTCCTTGTTTTTCACAAAGACACTGAACACAGTTGGTTCTTTAACGCCCTTTGGTAGAAGGACAGCCGCTCACCCAGTGCTGTGAAAGGAATGTACGGAGTTGGCTGGGTTGGAAGAGTGGATTAATCCAACCCAATATGCCACATAGCATTTCCTAGTCCCCAGGCTCGACAGCTGGGCAGTGGGAGCCTGTTTATCACATACCAAAATGGAATATTTGCTGTAGCTGCCTGGCATAACATCCTTAAGGGTGCTTCTTGCCATCACATGAAAATAAGATGTCCATGAAACCAGGAAAAACATGATCCCATTAAACTGTCTCAAGTCTAATGGCATTAGTGTCACATGGATACAGGTTGCTAATGCTATCAGTGCTCCAGGAGAAATTCTGGAGAGAAATATGTAACTGAAAAGTGTGTTCTTACCAGAGAGTTTCTGTGCCCTTACGAAGACACTCCCATTTCGACTCAATTTAGACTTTGATTCTGAGCCAGAACGGCCCAAGTTAAATATCGACTTCCATTTCTTGGACTTGGTAGATAGCTTTCTCCTGGAACAACAAAAAAAAAGAGCTCAGGAGATTACCAAAATTTACCCTTTTGTTTTCTTCAGAATCCTGTAAAAGCCTCTGAACTCTTTCCCCTGAACACTTCCCTTCTTTTCCTCTAACATCTCTTTTAATTTTAGTATATGCAAGGCATCACTACACGAACACCTCTCCCTTATCTGCAAGTGATTTATCTGTACTGCTGATTTAACCATGTCAAGGATGGAAAGACACCTGAGCCAACTCTCCACAGAGTTGGCTTTGGCATCACTCTACAGCAACTGTGATTGACTGAGTGATCAACCATGCCTGCCTCCAGAAAGGAGGTGTTTCTGGGGCTAGAACCATCTTGTAACACAGTAAAGAATAATTGCCTTTTAGATAGGTTTTAATGACAGTATGCAAGATAAATTCCATTGAACTGATGGAATGTGAGCTATTGCCTGGTGCACAGAGCCATCCTTTAAAGTCCTCATGATTTATAGTTTTTATGAATTTGCAAAAATAAAAGGATCTGTTAATACAAATGGCTATTAGTGCTTCTCAGGTCAATCTGAATTTAATCATGAGTGTTGATCATATGCTAGCATAATGTAATAACTGAAAGGAGGAGGCTAAAGGGAATTAAATCAATTTCTTGTAAATGTCAGAGGAAGTGGGATGCCAGTTCCCCTGTGTCTTTTCAGAAAGCCCGGCTTTAAGCAGAAGGAAACTGCTGTTTTGGAAGCCAATTTTCTTCTATGAATGTTATTGCATGAATCTCTGTTTCAGTTCCTTCACATACCCATTCTGACTCCTCCTTCAATCTTCAAGAGCAAGACCATTTTACCACCCTGTCTCAGTCTCCAAAATGTGTTTCCTACCCGTTCTCATAGTTCTGCTTTTCTTTCAGATCAGTGCTCAGAAGAGCACAAATCAGTCCTACCAAGAGGATTAACATCTTAGTGATAGGACTGTTCTCTTCAAGTGAGAAAGGAAAAGGAACTGTAGACAGGCAATACACCCTTTTGTTTTAAACTGGTTATCTTCTTGCCAGTATTCTATTAGACAGCTCATTTTTCCTTTAATATATCAAGTGTGAAGAAATATCTTTGCTACGGTGCTTTATGGGTCAGTAGATTAATGAGTCTCCTGCTGCAGAGGCTATAATCTCTCAGAACAAGGCAGTCAAGCAGACATATATTAGCAGATAGATAGACCAATAGATAAATAATTAGGCTGGGCACCAGTGCCAACAACTGCAGCAGCGTACGCTGAAATTGGACTCTTGTCAGCATTGGTGCCACTATGTAAATATCTCATAGTGCTGGAGAAATTTCGCCTTGCTGCTTGGCTGTGAGCACAGAGGAAGGTGGAGAAGGATGAAGCTGAGCAGGTCAGTACCACCAGGCGTGCTATGGGCAAGCCACCAGCAGGTGGAACTCGTAGGAGAGCAGTGTCTGGACCTGCTCCTTGCCCAGCCCTCGTTTAGCCAAGCCTTGAACTCACACAAGGTCGCAAAGACAATTAATTCCTCCTGCAGGGTGTTCTGCCCTAATGGAGGGACGAGGACTAGTGGAGCTATGAATCCAGCGACTGAAAAGATCCTCAGGAGCAGCTGTGCCTCTTGAGAAGAATATGCAATTTTCTCTCAATGGTGCCTGTAAATTCATGTGTGCAGGTGTGCGGCTTTCACACTAAGAGAAGTCTCAATCCTAATCATGCTGGGGAACCTGCTCCTTTTGCTCACACTTTACACTCCTCTTGGCACTTACTTGCTGTCAGGGAGGTCAACAACTGTGTGGAAGAGGGAGCCGGTTACAGGGACAATCTCAGGCAAGCTGTTCTCTCTCCTCTCCTTCCTAGCAGGGTGGGAGGCTGACAGGCTCCGTGCCTGCGCTTCTTCCAGGCTCACCAGCTTCATCGGCAGGGAGGCCGAGGGGAGTGACAGATTTCTCACAATTGGTGCGTTCTCTGAAAAGCAAGAAAGTACATTCCAGCCCCGGGGTGAGGAGAGACGAGAGCAAGAGCTTTGTGTCTTTATTTGACTGGAACAACTCCTGCGGAGGGGGAAAAGGAGCAGCACGTGCAGAGAGAGAGGCTTTTGTCAGATAAGCCTTCCATCTCCCCAGCAACCTTATCCATCTGAGTGCATTCCCAGCAGGGGCCACACTTGCCAGCCAAAGGCTGCTTTGCACAGGCTTGCTGCCCCTGCTGTAGATGCGTTGGTGTTAAAGAGGCGTCCCTGAAAAACACCAGGATGCATACATTCTCCTCCCTCCACAGGTTTTGGAGCAGCTGAGTCCCCTGTCCAAGCCTAAATCTCCCTCTCACTTCCACATCTTTCTCCTTGTCTTGTTCTAGGAAGGGGGACTGCTCTAAAAACCTCCATTACTGTACCTTCCCTTCAGGGCTACAGGGAGTACCTGCAGTACATACAAAAGGCTTGGAATTTGCTAATTGATGTATTTCTGTACTGCTGGTGACAGTAAGGACACAGTTCCTCACTCCCTGCCTTCTGCCGGGGCAGAAACATGGGCATAGAAGTGGCACCCACACCAGCACAGCAGGTCGAGGAGGGCACCATGCGGGAACCGCAGGCTCCAGGGACAGCCAGCAGGGAAAAGTGGATGGGATGAGCTGACACAGGGCAGGAGAGCAGAAGCATGGTTACTCCATCACTTCTGCAGGTGCCTTCCCAGTGTGTATAATGTGTATAACAGGAAGACACATACTGCTGAAATGATGTGAGATCACTGCAGTTCCAAGCCCTCTCACTTCTCTGCCTTATAAGACTTTTGACAGCAAATCTGTCACTAAATAAAAAAAAAAAAATCAGCATCTCCCAAGTCTGCTGATGTCCCAGTAAAAATAAATCAATCACTTCCCATAGAACATCTCCAAGAACAACAGAGAAATTTGTAAAACACAAGCATAACTTTTATCTTGGGGGTGTGGTCTCCAAGTTGGATGGATACAACAGCTGACAGAACTGAGAGAGTGGCTGAAGGGCTTAGAGAGAAAACTTAGGCCCAAACTGAGAAGCTAGTTGGGTGGTCTTCCTTCTGAAGAAGGGGTTAAGCTAGGTGAGATCATGTGAAGAATGAGCCTCAGGGCTATCTAGGAGCACACTGGAGGAGGCTAGTACCCAGAAATGTTGGAGATGAGGATGGGGAGGGCTAGAGTAGTGAGGGATTGGGATCAAGGTGTATTTAGGGGAGTGTGAGAGCATTCTAAGTGTTGATGCTTTTGAAATATCGGTGGAAGGGGATACAGTTAGAGCTGTAGTACAGGGCAAGTGACATATAGGGTGGCTTGGGGAGGTTGTTACCAATGTTCTCTGCAGAGCTGGCTTTTCTGTTTTTGCTGAAGATCTGATCCACGTGATTCAGGATGAACTCTATCACCAACTGCTGGACTCGCACCTCCAGGAAAGCTGCATCCCCATTGCAGCCAACAGCCTCTATCTCCTTTGACCTGCACCAGGAAAGAGGTTTACTAGTAGCCAGAATTATTGTCACATGATGCCTTTGGGAATGAGGAACTGGCTTTTTTCCTGCAAGACTTGGAACAGGGATGTTTTGGCCTCCCTTGCTGCATCTCTTGATTTCCTTTGATCACCAAGCCCTCACCTTCTCTCTGCCTTTTCACTCTTTTAAAAATCTGTTTCCATTTTCTCTCTCACCTTTGTTATTTCTTTCCTGCCTGTTATTTTCCCTCCTTCCCTTTTACATTCTTCAGCAGTAGATAAAACTGACTCTCAAACTGCTCTCTTTTCTTCATCTTTGGTCCTCCTTTATCTCTTTCAAAGTTGGGCCTGAAAGGCAACACAGGAGCCTTCAAGCACTGCTTCCAGATCCCTATGCAATGCTTCAATCATCTCTCCAAGGAGAATTTGAATGAAATCCCTCAGAAACCTGCTCGTGTTCTCCCCATGCCAGCTTTGCCAATGTTCTGCTGTGTGTCCCAGTAGGCTCTTCACTGCCCCCCTGCACTCTCACATTCTCACTCTTGCTCTCAGCAAAGAAACATTCCTTATCTTGACATGCCAAAGTGTTGCTGAAGAAATTATCTCTGGGCAATGGATCCTTTGTAAAGTTAATGACTGGTGTGTTAGATAATAGCTTGGGGCATTGCCAAGAGGATAACCATGTAAGGAGACTGCAATTGCATTGCTTGCTCCTTTCTTATCCTCCCTGGGACTTGCACTTACAATAGATTGCAAGAGGAAACAGACTTCAGTTTTTTTTGACAAGGACAGATGCTGGCATGAAAACCGTCTCAGTAGTAAAGGCCCACTTTGTGATGTTCAGTAGAGTAAACATCTGAATCATTTTCAGAACCTGTTCTGCCTTTGTTGTGATTTGCCTTTAGCTCTCTTGCCAATGTCCCTCCGGCCTGCCCTGCAGCCTCCTCTCAGCCCCCCCATCTCTGGTTCCCTGCACCAGCTCTGCCAAAGTCCCTCTCCTGCCCAGCAGGCCTTATCTGGACTGCCCCTGCATAGCTCAATCCTCTCAACACACAGGTATGGGATGGGTGGGGAAGGCGACTTCACCAAAATACAGAACATTTCAATATAAAATTTTCAGACAAAACGTTTTCTTGTTCTGCTCGGCTCTACAACATATCAGACAAACTTCTGCCTGCACCTTATCTGGGCCTCTTCCCAGAAAAGTGCCCAGCAAATGAACCAAAATCTACCTGGTGGTCTTGTGATCTGACACTAGCCGCCGTCCTAAATCCATCGAGCTCATTTCACTTATGCTGTAGCAGGCCCGGATACAAGACAGGCCTGTGATATTATTACCCTGTTTTCTTCCCTTCCAAGCCCTGCTGTCTCTCACCGCATCGCTGCAGAAGCACTGGCACTGTCAGAAATGTCATTTCCGTTCCACAGTGATGAGCTAACTCGTCATTTTTAAATCAATGTGTTCAACTTACAAATAACAGCTTTATTTTTGAAGAAAAAAAAAAAAAAAAGAAAGAAGAAGAAGAAGAAGAAGCAAAACCACAAGTTTCCTTGGATGCTGGCAGTAAAACCTCACATTATTCAACCTGGAAGAATTTTTTCTCATTTTAAAAGCTGCTTGCTCTGCTCTAGCACTCCCTTTAGTTGTTCTGTTTTTTCCTGCCTATGCTTTTCCCTCAGCGGATGTGTCTCTAGGCTCAGGTGCTGATGCTCCCCATGGAGTTCAACGTGGTGCTCGGGCTGGGAGGACTCTACTGTACCTGAGGAGATTGGGAGCCCACACCAAGGCCAGGTTTCTGGTGTGCATGTTGGTCATGTTGCTGAAGGAGGCCAGGTGAGTCAGGTGCTTGATCAGGTATTCCAGCGTTCTGCAGTGGTTTCGCATGAAGAGAGAGAAAATTGTCAGGTCCCTCACCGTGCACATGGTTATGTCTCCCCTGAGGGCTGCTCCTTGCAGCCTGAAGTGTGAGACCCACCGGTGGGCTCTCCCTTCCACTCGGGTGACCAATGCTTGTCTACAGGGACAGCAGGTCTCGGGCTCAGCTTGGAGCTCAGAGTTGTCCCCTCCTCAAGGAGGGCAGTGTCAGCACAACAGGTCCCATCAAACTGAGGATTTACACAGCCAGGATTTTGATGGGATGGCAGTGAATCCCTGAACATCCTTGCTCTGGGATGGCCAAGGATGGGACACAAACCAATCAATCCTTAGCATGATGGGTGCAAGGGAGATAGCAGCTGGGTAGGAGAAAGGGTTGGACCCTGAAAAGTCCGAGGGCTTAGCTCGTGCTTAAGTGCCTCCAGCAGATAATCTGCTTCTCACCACACCCGGTACACTGGGTAAGGGTGCCATGGTGGTCATACCCAGGGAGGAGGAGGATAGACTGAGGCAGGGAGAGCCTGTTTAATGATGGCTTGTTCAATGACATTTACATGCCAGATAAATTGTTGCCAGATTTGGAAATAGTGAGTCAGCTTTGGGGAATTAACTTCTGGAAATGAACTCTGTTGCTGTTTCAAGCAACGTTGCCTGATGGTGACAGCCACCACCCCGTTCCTCAGAGCCTTGGTGGACACAGTCTCACCTGTAATGTGATGGTGGGAGCTCCTGGATGACATTTTGTATTCGTGCCAACTGCTCGTCCTCAGGGAAGCGTGATACTGCTTCCTGTGGAGATAGAAGGAAACAGTCCACCCTGGCGACAGACTTAGGGGAAAAGGAAGAGGGATAAGGAAGGTCACACGAGACAGCCTGTCTCTGAGGGAATGCTCTCTTGTTACCTTGCAGAGATATTGGTAGGAGAAGTTGATTTGTGTTCCCAGCACACCAGAGATTTGCTGTGCTGTTATTTCATGTATTGGTACATCTTCCCCACACCTTGAGACAGGGTGGTTAACGTTTTGAGGGGAGGGAGGGTTGAAAACTGAGAGCTTCAATTAGGAATTATGTTTTGTGTGTGTGTGTGTTTTTTTCCTTCATTTAACAAGGATAGTGATGAGTAAAATAGATATAGAGGGGAAAGAGAGAAGTGAAAATATTGAAAAATGAAAAAGATGAATGGATGAAAATGTCTCTCCCCCAAAACTGTGTTAAAATAAAACAGGTCTTTCAAGCCCAGTGTAATAAAAAAGGGTTGGATATGCATACTTTACATTCATTAAAATAAGCCGCATGTGCCTGTCATATAAAGATAACTAGAAGTAGTCTGTGTGAGTTTGCCTCTTTTATGGTGGGAGAAGCCTTAAAAAAATCACTGCCCTGGTAGGTTAATAAGTTCCTATACTCAAGGTTAGACTAGGTTAGACAGAACCGAGGTTATACATCTTGGTCTTGATCAAGTGCCTCTGGAGCAAAAGCTTAAAAAGCCATGATAAGCTTTTGTCTGCATTCCTAGGAGTTTACTGCATTGGTATCCATCTGTTCAGCTATTCCCTTTCAGTTTTTGTGCTGGGGGAGGGCAAACCACCAGCGACTTCAAACAATGCATGACTGTCTGGGAACCTCCTGCCTACCCTGCTGCCACTGGAGTTTGGAGCGAGTTCAAAGAAAGATGCTGGGACCCACGCTGCCAGCAGCAGCTTTGCCTACAGACAGACGTCAGCACTGCTAGGAAAGGAGAGGAAGGAAATAACCCGTCCCAAACCACCCGCCGCTTAAACACCATCAACCTGAAATTACGAGTTACAACAACAGAAGCATCTTCTCGTCCTTCCAGTCCCTACGACATCCCCACTAACGATGCTGCCGTCTCTGTTCAGGTCCCTGCCCTTTTCCCTGCAGACCATTTCTCATGTACAACCAACGGTAAGCCAAATCTAGCTAGCTTCAAGGTCAGAGATGAATACGAATATATTTTATTCCCTAAGACTGGGAATTAAGATCTATGCCCTCGAGCTTGAACTTACTCATTGGTGTCAGCAAAGAAAAATGAGTGAGCTCACTAGTTGGGTATATGTGAGATGTGGATGCATTTCTTTTGCCCAAATTAAAGGTAGGTTAACATCTTATACTATATTTTACCATAAATACAGCAGTGGACCAACTGCTTATTCTTGTCACAAGCCCACACTCATACAAATGCCCAAACATTGCCATCTCCAGAGGCCAGGAATCCAGCCTTGCAGTGCCACAGACAGGCCACGTCACAACACTGCCAACAGCAGTACAACTCCTCCATGACCTGCATTGCCCCCACAGGCAGCTGCACATGTGCATGAATCAGGTCTCTGCCAAGGAGAGCGATCCACAGCAGCAGTGTGCCAGGCCGCCTGTTGCAAAACACCTGAATTGCAAATGACAAGCACTTGTGAATTGAAAAGAGCTGGCTGTACGCTTCATTTCCAACTATAAGCAGGAAACAAGACTGTTCTGAGATTTGAGAAAGTGATGCTAACTTTCCCCTTGTTTTCATTGTTATTCGGCTGACACAATGCCTTGGTGAGGAGGAAGGACCAAGCAGAGGACCCCTTCTGAGGCAAGTGACTCATCAGGAGGTTTAGGGGCAGCTCTTTCACTGCAACAAATAGGAATATTAAAACGTTTGAAATCAATCCTTTAAAAACAAACAAACAAAAAACACTATTACATTCAGCCTAGAAATCCTAAAAGCAAGAATTCTCACAGTCTTCATACAAGGTTTCCAGTTCAATGGCCTTACCCAAAGATGAAGAAAGAGAGGAATGCAAATTTTAATTAGTTCATCTAAAACATTATATTTCAACTGGATTGTACACAGAATTTTCTCTCCTGATCTGTGCTGATTTTTATTCCTACATTTAACTTCCAGTTCTCAAAGACCTAATGCTTAGACAGCCAGTGAATACGAGGCTTTCTGAGGTCATGACCCGTTCAAACCTCCACACCTCATTTCTGACCCACACATGTTGTGCTTTTGAAATCTGAGGACCTTTCCAACTTCAGAATTAGAACAGCAAAATACAGAATTCAAGGAAGAACCAGTAACTCCATTTATTATATGTCCGCTAATCACAGCATGAATTCCAGTTGTTTATATTTTCATCTCACAAACAGGAAAAGAGCACTCTGAGGATGGTAGAAGGTAGGAATCTAAAACAATTTAAAATCATGGATTTTTTTTTTTTTTTGTAACTCTGATGGTGATTCCAGGAATGCACAATTCACAAAAGCCTCAAATAACAACTGGAACTGAGACCAGAGAGAGAAGGTAGGCTTGGCCTCCTACAGCTAATTTGTCCTGAAGGACCATCCACCCCTATGCCCAGGCTGGATGGAGCCAAGTAGAGTCAATTTACCTATTCCATAAAACAAGCAGCCAGCGCCAGAATACTGGACGGAAAACTGGGGAGCGTGAGAGGACACCATGCTGCAAAGGTTGACGGCCTGTGAGGTCGTGACTGGGATGTTACAACCATGAATGATGACCAAAAGGCCGATCCCTCTCTAGTCATTAAGAATTTGACTTTCCTTAGCCACAACTGTCTGAATCACTCCGGTGACTCAATGTGGAGCCTATACCATCTCAGAAGCAACTCCGAGTGAGTCAGTCTGGGATTAGCATGCATCCTTTACTCCTACTAGCGCTCTTCTGCTTAGGCACAGCTGCCGCCATTCCCTGTTCAGACACCCCACGCACACGCACGCTCCTATAGCGCTTTTTCTGCTCCTTGGGGATTTGGTCTTTTTTATTTCTTTCCTCCCTGTATCTGACTGTGTTTCCTGTCACCTGGGTTACCCATTATAAATCTCCACTGAGCAGAATTATGTGAATAACGGATTTCGTGGCAGAGCAAACTAAGAAGACGGAGTTAAAAAAAAAAAAAATCCCTTTTAGGTCGATCTAAAGTGATAACATTTGGGGGAGCTGGCACAAGATTTTTAAAAACAATTGTTCAAGGTCGACCAAGGATCACATTTCAACCAAAAGTGAAAGAAAAACTCATTTAAATTTGGGGCTATTTAACCCTTTTCTGAAAGATGTTTTATTTAAGAGCTGGATGTGTTGATTTAAAGTTGAAACATTTCCTTTAGAAAGTATTTGTAAAAGAAACATTTGGATAGTTACAGAAGTGTTTTCCCTTTTGTTTTTGAATAAAACTATTTACCAAATGTATCTGACCAAAATCTGCAAGTCATCATCTCAAAACTGCACTTTTCAGCAAACATTCTTTCCTAAAAAAGTTTCCATCTAAATCTTCATGTTTCCTTTATAGCATTTTTCTTTCATAAATCAGTAATGATAGCCAGAAAGACACCAGCCAAATATCTGCAACAAGAATGAGGCTCATCAGTTACTATGAATGGTTCAATTATACCCTGTATTTTCAAGGTCCTATTCACCCTGGCTGTCTCCATTTTGGAGATCCTATCCTATATCCTAATGATCCCTATATCTTGAGGGTATAGGACAATTTTTCACATCTGCTCAGAGTTGTGACTGAGGTTTTGACTATCCACCACCTCAAACCACAGCGCAGTCTTACTTAAAAATTATCATGGGAATAGCAAGACACTTAGCACTGTTGTGTATCTGTCAGGCAGCATAGCAAGGCTAGCAAGTTGTTGTTCCCCAGCTCAGTTATAGTCCCAAGCAGCTACCTGACTTCTTATAGCAAGTTGCTATTTGACTGGTCTCCTTTGGCTCTGCACTACAGTAAGACCCCTTGCACAATGTGTCTTTGGATAACGTCTTCTTGTGTGGACCCACCACGTTTTTCTCAGTGCCTCCTGAGCCACAGTAGTGCTGTTTGGAAATTCTTGACTCAGGGTAGAGGTGATGCAGATAGCAGCACCTGAAGCTCAGCTTGCTTGCCACTTCCAGTCTCATCTGGACATGATTTTGCAAAATTTCCCTGCCACATCCAACATTTTTTGGCAATGCCTGTCCTCTCCACCCTCCAGCAGATGAGAAAGAGTAGGATGATAGAAATTCTTAACAAAGGATGGATGTTTCTAACGCTGATAAAATAATCTTTACCATCCCCCCACCCCTGTTGTTTGAAGAAGATAGTGAATGCTTTTAAACTTAAAATTCACACCTCAAGCATGGACAATTTCAGCCTAAATGACTAGATTTAAATTTGTTAGTGTCATAGACAGCTAAAAGTGGATTTAGAAGGGTAAGAAACAGGCAGCCTTTACGACAAGTATAGCTTGCGCTGCCACCTTTTAATGAAATATTATCTGTCACCAATATTAGCCAACTCTCTTAAAAATTCAGGCTTCACAGTCATATTTTCCAGCTCCCTGCCATCTTCTCTTACTGTATCCATGTATAATCTATGGTTGTTTTGCAGAATCGATTTACTACTCTCTGAATTACAATCCATTTAAACAAGGTTGGAGATTTCTGCTTGGCCAGCTGCCACTTTCCTCTGCTGTTTGTATTTATGATATGATCATGACAGACCTGATATGTCATAGCTGGCATAACCTGTGTCATCATTTGCTCTCTGACAAACTGTGTGAAAATGCTACAGATTAAAAAAAAAAAAAAAAGTCAATACTTTACACATGGGTTGAGCAATCCATTTGTTCAGGTGTCAAGGACTGTGGAAGGAACAGAGAAGAGGAAACCACTCCCTTGTGATTATGATCAGAGGCCCCAGATGACCCCAAAGGCTCTCAGTGATGGACAGTAATGAGGAAACCAAAGAGAATTAGCCATTCTGGAAGGAGGTGCACAGTGGGGAGAAAGAGTAACACCAGGGAAGCAGTGCAGTGAATAAAATGAGCAAAGGAAAGGAAACAACAGAGAAAACAAGAGAAACAAACATGAAAGGGAGGAAAGAAACAAGGACAGGGAAAGACAGCCAGTGCAAGATGAGAAGGGACAAGCACTGGGAAGTGTTTATACAGATACATGCACCAGAAGCCAGGACACCAGACTGAAACCCAAACAGCTGTCATGGGGGAACCTGTGACATGTCCACGCTTCTGGTTAGGAATGAGGGCAGCAAGAGGGCTCACCGTGAATTTCTTGTAGAGCTCATAAGTGAGGAGAGGGTTGGGCAGCTCCCTGAAGTACAGCTTGCAGAGAGACCCCACGCAGTGGATGTCCTGGAGGTAAACTTCCCTTGTCAGGTCCGGGCATTGGTCAGAAACAAACTCTTGTCTGAAACAACACAGAGACACAGCAACCTAGATGAATAAGAGCTGTAGCACCCCTAAACTCCACTCTGCATACTTTTTTACAGCTAGAGGACAAAACAGACTGGAAGGCAGACAGGACTGTATTATCTGCATCCTGGCCCAGCCTAGCTCCTGGGACCAGGCCTTGAGGTTTCAGCTAGGCTCTGGCTGCCCCAGCACAGTCCCATGACGGGCCCCCAAACTGATATAAAGAGATCTCTTTGTCTTGAAATGAGAAAGAACAACTCAGTATTTGTGCTGAGACCCTCCAGGCTCTTCCCATTAATAGACACAGAGGGAGACTTTTTTCCTTGTCATGGCCTAATCCCCAAACCACTGTATTTTCCTGCTACCAGCTTCAGAGACAATTCCCATTCTGCATCAGTGCAGAGCTCTGTTGGCCCCAATATGTACTTGAGGGACTAACAGCTTGAAGATGCTGAGCAATGCCACCAAATCTCTCAGGTGCTCAGACCGGTTGCCCTTACCTCAGCTTTTGGATGTTGGACGTCACTCCTGAGAGGCGATATATCCCATCCACGATGCCATGAGTCTCAATGAACTCCGCACAGCTCTTCAGCACATAGGGGACTAGGAAAGAAAGGCAAGACACCCAGTGAATACACACCAAGAGCTTCCAGAAGTCACCACAGAGGAGACAGTTTCGTAAAACAGTAGTGGAGGCTCTCTGCAGACACAGGGAAGGGTCCAGTAACAGAAGAAATACAGAGCAAACAAAAAAAATAACCCCCACAAAGTAGCCGTAGCTAATTTGCAGAGTAAGGATATGCAGTGGTTCCGCCATGCCATGCTCATTGCCATGTGACAATTACTGAGCCTGAAGTCACAGAAGCACTGTGGGAGGAAAGGTAGGGTTTCTCTTTTTTCTTTTTTTTTTTTCTTTTCTTTTTTTGCTTTCCAGAAAAAGAGGCATTTTCACTCTAATTGAAAGCATGAGGTAAAGCATGTGGTCCCAAGAACCTCCCCCCTCCCCAGGATAGAGCTCCAGCCTCGCTGAATCTAGCCAAAAGGTCTGATTGGCTTGGATAAAACTCAGAGAAGCATTCACACTTCCATATAAGCCTACATACCCACAGTTTAGTGCTCATAAACTCCCACAGAGGGGGTATAAAGTTCAAATATTGACTAGATCTGCACACTGGCAAAATCTGACATTGGCTTCAAAAGAACTCCGTCAACGTAACCAGCCAAGGACTTAATCAGCCTTAAAGCTGAGAGGAGCCTGAGGCAGAGCATTTACATCCAAACCTGGACCCAAAGCTTGTGTTTATTTTTTTCCATTATATAGGTAGAGGAAACCCTCATCCCCTTGGTCAGACCAAGCCTCTCTGTCCCCAGTACTATAACAACCCCAGCTATAACAATAACAGTAAGAGAGTCCTTCCTTATTAGGTGCTAGAAACTACTGTGTATTTAATGCAATGCTTCACACAGCCATAAGCACAGAAGCCAGTAAATGCAGAAGCCGAAGTTCCTCGCTGTAATGCTGACTCTGCTGCACTGCACATTCGGAAAGCTGTGCGGAAGAAAACAGGCTAAGCCACACATTTTACTGGAAAGCCAGGCATAGCAATTACTGCATCTCTGTGACACCACAGAGATAATGCCTCTGGCTGGACCTTCCCTGAGTTTTTCCGCCGGAGTTCAGGGCCATAATGACATATTAACACATGCTTCATCACACAGGATCCAAAGACATCATCCCAAGGATGGCCTGAAAAACAAAGAGCTGGTACATTGTTGTTTTTCTCCTAGGTGCCACTGAGGCCAGAGCCAGCTCATGGTTTCTCAGAAGCGTGGGCTTGCTCCCACCACACAGACCAGGGCCCTGGCTCTGGTGAGGAGGGCTCCTAGGCTGGTGCCTACATCAATGATACACTCTTCCTGAGCACAAAGAGCCAGGGAAGTGCTGCCCTTCTGCCTCTCAGCTGGCACCAGGGGAGGTAAAGAGGTCCTTTTCATGCGTCCCTTCTCTTCTCAGCATGGCCAACCCAAATGGAGGGGTAGTGGCAGTGATTTCTTGGAAACCTGAATGATCCAAACAGGCTAATTCTCTTTGAAAGAGGCCAAAGGAGCCTCCTCAGAACAACAAAGAAAATTGTCTTTTTTTTTTTTTCTTTGTTTTTTGAATCATGAACTCATAATGCAGGTAAAATAGCCGTGCTGGATCATGCTTGAAGTCCTTAGGCTGATTTTTAAGACCTTCAAGTTTCTGGGCTAGGACCAAGTACCAGCTGAACCTCTTGCCCTAGCCTACCACAACAATGTTCATGGGAAACCAGTGAAGACTCCATGGTAGAAGATTTCTCCACAGCAGTCACGGACTTTTTCACACCAGTGCCTTCCAGAAGGAACATGGGAAGCATTCTTTTCAGTGCCTACAGCACCGACTTCCTAAGAGGACTGGGTGAGGTGGAAGGATACAAAGCAAAATAAAAGCACAACATTTCCTAAATATCCTGCCCAAGTGACGCATCAAGAAAGAGGACCTTCCTTTCTCCAAGTAAGACTTGGCTATCTGTAACCACAGCAGAGAACTCAGATCATATGATGATGAGCATGCTAGAAATAAAGACACGGAAAGAAAATAACTTCAGGCCTCTTCTTCATTTTTGTCTGGTTAGACTGTACTGTCTTTGAGGTAGAAACTATGGGTACATGGCATATTAAGATTGTCTTCTTGGTTGGGGTCTGGGAATAAATGTGAAATAAGCAGCAAAAATGAAACCAAGGCAGATCCATCATCACTTCAGACCCACAGGGGTGGGAAAGTGAGTGAACTCCATGCCATCTAGAAAAAGAAGAATGAATTGAACACAAAACCTATCTGAGCAGGAAATCCACTTGCCAAAGCCTGTTAGAAAACTGAACAGCCTTTCATATAGACAAACTGCTTGTGATGGTGTCTAGCTGCCACACGAAGGTAGCCTGTACCAACAGTGACCTTAGTTAGACACTTTTTAAGACCTCACTGTTAAGAACAAGGACACCAAATAAAAATGCATACATTGAGGTTTGTTGTGACTAATTTGACCTCTTGCAAGGAAGACCTATTAAATCACACTTTTTTTTTTTCTGTTTATTTTGTTTTGTTTTGCTGAGGTTTAAATTTCCTTGGGATAAATTAGGTCAAGAGGCCTCAGGCACGTAAGCAAACCTCTTCTGCATAGACTGGAGAAGGCTAACTCCATCTGTTAAGGACAGAAAGCAAAAAAAAAAAAAAATAAGGGGGGCCTGAGGGGAATAATCTGCAGCAAACATAAAAAAAAAATCAACTAATTCGTAAAAGTGGGTGAAGACTGCACAGTAGAGACAACCTTATAGACTGCAGATGGACAATATGCACCAAGCTCTGCCAATATCTCTTACACCAGCCCCGCAATCTTAACTGCTTTTCCAGCCCTGGGCTTCTCACATATTTCTGCCAGTGCCCTTCACTCATCATGAACATAACTTCCTGCCATACCAGGTCTTTGACTCTAACGAAGAGAAACAGCTAGTCATGCCAAAATGTGTGGCGGTTTTGTGATGTCAATAAAATCCCACATAGGGCACATTTCACTTGCAACCAAAAATTACAGACTTTGACCTCAGATCCCTGGAGGTGAAAGGACTGCATCGGCTTCCTGCAAAGCAAGCCCCTAAATGCAGCACTTGTATGAAACCAGAGCACAATAAGTGTTTTCTTTGAGCAGAACCTGCAGCTCTGAAATTCCTGAGCAGCTCTGATCTCCTACAAAGCTGGGTCTTTAGGGCACTTGGGGGAGGTGAGGTTAGAGAGGCAGTGAGTGGCTCCCTCCCACTTCCAGCCATCTCTGAGGTGGCTGGGCTGTTTGGGGTATGGCTACTGATGTGCACAAACAAAATCACAGGCTGTGATCAACCTTGGATGCAGGGAGATGCAGCCCGAGACTCTATTTGCTTTACAAGAAACACATAAATCAGAGACGTGGGTGTCTCCTGAAGGAAGATTAGATGGGGATGAGGATTTGTAGTGAGGGCTGTGCGTGCATGCAGACACAGAAGATTGGGGGGGGGGGGGGGGGTCCAATCTTGACACTTCTATAATTAAAACTATGCTGGAGGCTTAGAAGTTGGAAGAGGCAGCTGGTGTCACACAGACCCTGCTTGTTCTGCCAGACAGCCAAACTGTCCTCATTTAAAACTACAATAGAAACCAGATGGAAGAGGAGAGGAGAGTGTGGAGCGAGGCATCAGTCAGAAGGGAAATTGAGTTATAAACATACTGCGCACAAAAAAACAATACTTCTCTTCCCCTAGACAAAAATAAACCAGAAGGGCAGCCACAGTAACTCATTCCACTCTCACTGGATATCACCTCCAAGCTCAGCATACGCAGACCCTCACCTTCACCAGGGTCTTTTCTGCAAGCACAGCTCATGCCAACACCATTGGGTCTCTCCCATCCTGCCCCTTCCAAGCCATGGTGCAGCATCCACCAAACTGCCCATCAGCAGGCAAAGACCTCACTGTTTGTCAGCCTGACCAAGGCTTTGTCTGGCACAGGGCTGAGCGTTTTGGATCCAAACCAGCAAGACCTTTAAGGGTGTAGGCAACTAAATCACTCAGCAGCCCTAAGAGGAAGGGTCACAAGGAGGGAGGGAGTTAGGCCATTTAGCAAACAAAGCCAGCATAGAGCAAGGAAGACATTAATCCAGCAGGAGCTGCAAGCAACCACCTGTGGTCTACAGTGGAGCCTTCTAGAAGAAACTCTGGGTCTCTATGGGCTACAGAAGGACACTAGGGAGGAGGCTGCTAAGTTAGCCACCTGAACTAGTCAGTATGAACACCATTCAGCAAGGCTGTGCTTAAAGTTAGCTAACCTGGACTGGGTCATCTTGCCCAGAGCACACTGTACCAAACTGGCCTGAATAGTGGCAGGCTTCATTTTTTCCTTTATCCTTTTGCTGATTTCTCAGAAGACTATTTCCAAGGGCAAAAGTCAGTGACAGAGCTACTCAGATCCTCTTTAGAGCTTGCTTTAAGCTAGATGGAGGTGGTTTCACATCCTTTTTCATTTTATTTTAATTTTAGTTCAAGTAACTGGAGGGTTAATGTAGACATTTCATTTCACATGAAACATCAACCATTTGACTTTGTAGGAAACAGTGTTGCTGTGGTGGTGATTTTTTTCAAAAATTTCCCCAAAGAATGAATCCTGTGCCATAAAAAAGGAGATGTGGGTATTTGTATTTCACCATTTTGGTTTTGCTTTGTACCAGTATTTTCTTAAGTTTTCTTTTCTTTTCTTCATTGCCCTTAACTGTAATGTATGCTTCCTATAATGCCATGTGAAATCATCAGACAATAAAGGTTTAAACAGTCTCTTGTTTCAATTTAAATTACTAAATTAGGAGATATTTCTCCCTAGAAAATGAGTGTCTCATTCTGTGCTAAGCAAGAGCTGTACTTTACATGCACAAAAATAACAAAACAGTACACATTTTAGAACATACTAATATATTAACTTGGCCTCTTAATCACAGGAAAGAAACAGCGTTGTATAAATGGCAACAAGCTTGAGTGTTGGTATCTCAGATGTGACATTT